ATTCAAGCTATGGCCGTGGTTATACATGTAGAAAGTTCTGTGCTGATTTAAAGTAGATAATCTATGTGGAGAAAGGAACCCTGGTATTTTGAAGGTGTTTATAGCATGATTCATTGCATTGACAACAAAGATAAATGGCCAATTATGCATATTCTACACACAAAAAAGAACGAAATAAATTAATATAATAAACAAATTTTGTTTATATCGCCAAAGATCTTTATTTAACATCTACATGTAAATTGAGGAATACTGGCCTCGCCTTAGAATATTTTATTAAAGCTCACAACCGTGGAGTGAGATTTGGATTTTTATATCGGTTAATGATGCTTATGATACGATACTTTAAGACACCATTAATGCCAGACCTTTCTCTTACAAAATAGATAGTTAAGATAATCATTATACATGTAACTAATTTCACCGTGTCCTTAAGTTGAGTATTTGATCGGCGTGACCTGCCGGGGTCTCTTCTCAAGAGCGAACAGCACGTACATGTAATTGTAAAAGAATTATTGTAGTCAGAGAGAATACGAGCTCCCACAAGGGACCAAACCGCTCACCCAAAATTTCCAGCCGGACACTGCTACACAAATTAATAGTATTCTGTCAGTGTATTGCAGCGTGTTTAATCAAGCACGAGTTATTTCCCTTGTGTCATATCGCATCCATTACATGTACATTGGTAACCGATTGTCCCCGCTTTACCCATCTAAACCCAGTTCTTAGATATGATTCATTGTGACGAAGACTTATGAGATTTAGTGTCACGTAGAGATCAAACAATGATTCATTAGTGATAAGTTGATAAGTGGGGGTCTAAACGAAGCTTATTACTAAATAGAAAGAAAACACCCCTAGAAATGTGTGTTAAGAATGATATTATCCGAATAAAGATTTATTCGTGTAAATTAAGAGACCCGTAGGTCAAATGAAAAAAAATTGTATGATAAGAACACGCGTGATATAGTATAGTTAGTTACAAATATAAACAACAACAACACCAACGACAACAACAGAAAACAACAAGAGTATATCGAAGTGTTAACAAAGCCGTAATCTAAACATAGAATAAATAAAATCAGGGCAACATCAGAACAAAGGGAACATTTATATGAAGACCCTTGAAAAAAGTACAAAAAGAAGTTAAGGTGTTCCGGTAAGATTATAAGACTCTTTCATGTACAGGGGTGAAGGATAGGGAAATATCCACCCGAAGGGTTTTCAAATTTGGTAAAACCCGAGGCATTGCGGCATCGGTGTTTTCCGAATTCGTGACATCACGTCATTGTTGAGCCATTGTGACGTCACGCCCATGTAACTTACATGGCCAACGTTATCTTACATGACCGGATATGAGAGAAAGAAATTTCCTACACCCCTTTCTTACCCTGGACAGCTCTATCTTACACACAGGGATATGAGAGAAAAACGCTTGCTTCATCGACGACACCCGCAATGTAAATCAGGGTCAAATCCGAACAAGTCCTGATAGCGGGAACTGGGACAGCGCCACCAAAACAACAATGCACAAACTCATCGAACTTAATATTGCATATTTCCCAATGAGATCGAACTGAAGACCTTCAAACTTGTACATAATCGTCGTCAGCCAGCATCTTTGGAAATCCTGTGTTGTGAGTTTGTCTGTTGACATTCGACATCCGTCAGGGAGTTCATGATATTCAGTGCAAGCTTTTGAACACCGAATCAACTGCTACAAGTAGTCACCGGAGTTTGAGGAAGCAGGGGTGTTTGCTATCAAGGAAGGGAAAGTTCACGATCGGCAAAAATCGAAATCGTCCCGCTTATCAAACATAGTAGTAAGCGTCTTTGTTGCTGATGTTTAAATAAAGATTGAGGAAAGCGGCTGAATCAGACGAGTCCCAGATAGCAAGACATTGTCGGGCCAACGGCGCGATGCGACGATCGCATATCGACGTTGGTCCAACGGTGGAGTTTAGCTGCATAGCCAACGATCGCATCTCGCCGTTGGCCCACGGTCGGAAATTAACTGATCATCCAACCATAGTCTAACGGATATCCGGGAAAGCCTCGTTCTGAATGCAGCTTAGCGGGAAAAATTGGACGCGGGTACCTGTTGCAGTGTCTTGAAAAAAGTAAGTTACCGATGTATCTGCAATTATCTACGAGTAGAATGAAAACGTGTAAATGATAAAGTTGAATATAATATAATATAATATCTACATTCTATTTTCAGTGACAACTCGTTTTTAAATCACTTCAATTCGAATTCTGGTTGTTTAGCCCCATGTCCTGTTCGCACCCTCTGCCCATGTGACATAATGGCATGTAGAGTGATGAAAATCGTGATTGGATAATTCCAGATCCCGATTTGCATATTTACAGGGAAAGGAACTCTTGTTTGGTTGAAATACAAAACGAAATCGCTAAACTCCGTATTTTAAACAGACAGAAATGTAAAATATACCGGGCGGGGTGTTCGAGCGTTGTTACAGGAGTACAATTTTAGTATTATCAGACGGTGGCCCAACGTTGGGCCAACAGAAATGTCTGCCACCAGTGGCCCAACGTTGGGCAAACGGACAAAAAGCTGTTGGGCAAATGTTGTATTACTACGTTGCGCCAACGGTGCAGTTTAGTTGGGCCAAAATTGGCCCATCGGCGGTGTGCTATTTGGGGTCTACCGTGTCCCATCCTCGATATTCAGGGGTTACGCTCATTTTCGCTCTCTGCACCCCTGGAATATGTCATAGCAAAATTGAAGGCTCGTTGCGCGTGGCCATCTTGTTGGTGTTACAAGAATACTGGTTCGATCCTTTGATATACATCAAAAGAATCTCGCAGTCACGTAACGGTAAACATTGACAGGCTTTGAGGTAATCTTCAAAGGACAGGTATCAGCCTAGCGATTGGTCAGGTGGGTTTTTTTTTTACCTGAGACCAATCAAACAGCTATCTTCGTGCTTTCAATTTTGTTATGACATATTCCATGGGTGTAGAAAGCGAAAGTGAGCGTAACCCCTGGATATCGAGGATGACGGTACCGTGTCCTTGGTTTCAAGTTCAGGAGACCATATATCCATGTGGTTAATACGTTTCTTGTGATTCAAAGATAACATACCTGAATTTGGAATTGAAAGACTTTGATATGTTTTTGTTACCTGTCCCGATACGTTCTTCAATGGATACATCTTCATATGAAAACAATCGACAAGAAGAGGGGCACAGTTTGTTCCAAAAGAAATGGCTACAATCTGCTGAAAAATATGCCACTGAACTCAACAAAGATATTGTCAACCAGGGAACTCAATCAGTCAAAAAATATTATCCACACTATTTTTCATTTTTGCCTTTGACTTGTTTTTTTCATAAAACATGCTCCAAAATAGTTTACAGTCATATAGTTATACTGTTATTCGCCTTTCATGACATCAACGAACATTTGCCGGGTAGCTTTTATTACTTTTAAGTTGCTATGTTTTCATTCCAATTTTAAGGACGACATTTTTGATGGGACGTAAAGTTACACTCCACTCCCTACACAATAGATGTGTTGTGTTTCAGTTCTCATCTCCCTTTATTATTTAATTGTTTACTAGAATTACAGGTGCTTAAAATGCTATAACTCTTTATTCTGCAAAGCACTAAATGTAGGCGACTACAGTTATGCATAATTCAAGAGCCAATAAACATGTCTCACGGTGATAGTTGTAGACGTCGCCGGCGCATTCTGTCGCATTCCAGACTTAAGGATCCCCGTACCGCTACCGAAACCAGTTACTGCGCGTTGGATTTTTTCCCCGGCGTAAAGAGAACTTTGATAAATCATTTCTTTAAAGAAAACGTCACTCGGGACTTATTAAAAAATAATAAAGACGAAATTAAGCAAAATAAAACAACAGTTTCCTTAGCGTAAAAACTCGGTTGGGCTTGACTGGGATTTGAACCCACGACCGCATGTTATCGCGCTAGCCCCATGTACTACCTAGGAAATGGACGTGGCATGGTACCGCTGTGCTACAGTGATATCCGAAACATTTTTCGTTGGTTGATATTAATTAAGGCTAACTTGAACTTAATATTTATTTAGAATTCTTTTTTTTTTGCAACATTTTTTTTAAAAGTTCATTAGTCTTGTGACTTTTTGGTTTGGCAACCATTTCTACTAAAAATGCACTGTTTGATGACGGTCTGTCTGTATTTGACTTCTCTTAATATATTTCAGGACACGGATTTTAACAGGATTCAAACCTTCCTTGATTTTATGAATGACAGTACAGAAAGTATATGCCTTTTATGACCTTTCTTTCTCGAATTCAAGTGTAAAATGTTTGTTTTATGTAACTGTTTAATGTACTTTTGTTGTATGATATAGCATGTAACCTAATTACTGCCACCAAAACAGTTGGCCAGTTAGATGCCTCAGAAGTGTACGTAGTCATCGTTGTGCACAAAATCGCAGTATCACATTAAGTCATTCAACTTTTAATTTAAATGCTATTAAAATTGACGATAATTAATGGCATTTTGTCATGTGGTTGTTTGTTTTTCTTCACTTTCTAATGCATGTGTGCGCAAAGTCATTATAAGTGAAACTACTGATTTTTGTTCTGCAATTTTCAAGTCTGAATGGATAATTGTGATCAGATAATAATTCGATTCAGTAAATAATGATCTATTGGCATTTGACAAAGGCAATTTTATTTCCTTAGGTTCAAATATACTAATAATTCATTGTTTAATAGACCCAAGTCTATTTCAGGTCATGTGACTTTATACAATATGGTCCAATGCGTTAAGGGATTGTTATATACTGTACACACATTGTGATAACTGGAATATCTTCCTCGTCGCGGATTGCCTCAACCGGGTGAGTGACGGATACCGGCTATCCACCGTCTACACTCCTCTTTCAAATGAATTCAAAGGAGTATTTCTTCCTCAAGTAAAACTGTCTCTCCTCGCCACTTATCAACGAGTCACAAGGCCGGACGTTCTCGGTAATATTTTACCACATTCACTTCGTCCAGATCTCGTTCCAGTTTTCTCCACATCCTCCAAATTCCAGGGGAAGTTACGCTCACTTCCATTACTGTACTCCTGGAATATGTCATAACAACATCGAAGGTAAGCTATTTGACCATCTGATTAAACTCAGAACAGATTCTAAAAATGGTAAATATAAGTATTGAAACGTTTTCAGTTGGCATTCATAGGCATTATGAATTCAAACTGTACAAAGGCAAATCTAACATGTGTCTTTGTCCAGTTGGCATTCATATTGCCTATGAATGCCAACTGAAAGCAGTTCAATGCTTAATTAAATATGCAAATAACTTAAACATTTTTAATGGAAATGGGAACCTTGCGACTACTCAAAAAGAACATTCTGAAACATGTACAAAACGTCAAGAGGTCTAGCAACAGTTTTGAAGGTTTTATGAATTTGAAATTAATATTTTCCATTTGTTCTGTCTGGTTCTGTCATTAATTCTTAATACATTTACATGCATATATATTCGACGAGAAGGCTTTGCAGTAACGTGTGCCTAATTCTATGAACAGAAGTTTTCCTAAGACGACTTTGCGAGCCACCTCAGACATATTTGGAATTATTTTGGACGATTCTTTGCGTTTTATAAGTCGCGATCTATTTTTTTCTTGTCGGACCCTTTAAACTGTATTGGGTGTACACTCTGGTAGGATTTTGCAAGATATACATAAAATGAGGTATCAATTCCATTTACACGCTAAAAAATGTAAAACCCATTTATAAGTTAAATGGATTGAAATGTGAAAATGTATTCTATACGAACCACACTAAAACACAAATTCACAAGCATCAGTTTAGATATTCGGGTACCTCTATACTATTATCTTGTTTGCCCATATTGTATAACATGTTATCAACTAAATTGAAAATAAGGAAACTATTCAAATATTAACACAAATGTCAAAAAGTTGACGGAGCGTAATGTGAAGTAGAATTGTGTGAGGGTGTAACAATCCCGTGTGTGTCTCCTTCTAGGTGGTGAAGAGCCGTGATACTTTAATGTCTAAATTATCATTTCAATCCAAACAAGTAATTTGATTTTGTTGATAAAAAATGACAGTTTGGACGTTATACCATTATAGCTGACAAAAGCTATATGATTTGAATCGTTTTATGCAGAAGTCAAAATATTATAATACTAACTATATATCAGACATACTGTGAAATCAGATATTTTCGTGGGGCCCGAATTTCGTAATTTCCCGACAAAACACAACTTCCTGGGTACATAAATTCTTGTAGATAACAAGTACTAACTCAAACGGATAATTGCTTTATATCAAACTTGAAATTACTTTGTGGACCTTTTAATTTCATAGATGGAGTACCCACGAAATCAACGAAATTAAAAAGCCCATGAAAATGAGTGATTTTACAGTATGTCATTGTTCTTCAGTTGCACTTTCACCAACTAATATATTGACGTTGATATAGTGGTTTACTATCTCATATGACTAACTGATAAAGGGTATCCACATCTATAGGATGACCAAGCAATCTTTCCATCAATCAACATTAAAATGTATTTCGTTTGTTAGAATTATATTGCATGACGTGTCGGTGTGTCACATTATTCGAAAATTATTGAGCGCTAGTTAGAATGCTACCATGCTATTTGCAATACACAGTTTAAGTATATAAGAAACAAAAATATATACTTAAGCATCGACAAATACGAAATAAATGTTCACTAAAAAACGATACGAAATGACAACAATCGGAACTGAAAAGATATCAAAACAACTGGGAAAAACAAGAGAATGTCCGAGTGTCAACAAAACCCGTAATTCGAACTCAATAAAACTAAGTCAAAATGGGAATGAAGATTTTGAAATAGTTCTTAGAAAATAAGACCATGTGTTCCTGAAGAGTAAGTATCCTCTGTAACATGGACGACAGCCGCCATGTAAATTTAGGAATCATCCAAATAGTGTCACCTCCTCATTGCGACAATCTAGATAGTCACGACTAGTGATAACACGCAGTTCTGTGATCTCCATCTCACACGTAGAAATATAATATTTCCAAATGAGATCATGATGTCGACAATTAAATTTGTGCATAGTTTTCACCAACCTGCACGCTGTCCATAGGTGTCATCGACCTGCATACTTGGAAACCTTGTGTTGTTAGTATGTCCGTCAGCAGTCGACGTCTATCACATATGTCACAATATTCGGATCAAGCTCAAGGGATGTGACTATCAAGGAAGAGAAAATTCACTTTCAGAAAAATTGAAAGCGTCCTATTTATCGCACAGGTTCTTTTCCTCTCCGTATTTCTAGTTATCAATTTAGTAGTAAGTCGCCACTATTAGTCATGTTGTAAGTTAATGTCGAGGAAAACGGCTGAAGTGGAAGAGATTGTAGTGTCTTTGATTTCAAGCCAACAAGGGTATATACGCACAACGTTGTCAATACCTTTCTTTATAGACATGATTAGTCCCTATTATACACATGTATGCAACGGTAAACCCATATGCTGTGAAATGGTATACCATTCCAGCACCACAAGTGACTCTTGTCCCTTGCATTATCGAGGAAACAACTATCTTAGACACGGTGGGCAGGTATTTTACTTCGGTATTTTCTCTGAGATTTCCATTTAGTGATAACCACCTTTTGTCAAATTCCAGCGCATTACTGCATTTATAAATATAAATATGTCATACTTAACATGTATGATAAGTTAGCTACGTTGTTTGACAAAGGATACGGTTTCATATATATCTCCTGCTGGAGTTTTGGTAGTTTCCGAGCCGGCCATAGACAAAGGCTTAGAACATAGATAACGATTTTTTTCTGGGCAGACGTTACTATGATAACCTCCCTTTGACCTAACACCGAAGACGGAAGATACAGAAATTGTTATCTACTGTCTGTGAAGAAGTATATGACCACACACAAAGTATATGATCACACACCACACACAAAGTATATGACCACACACCACACACAAAGTATATGATCACACACAAAGTATATGACCACACACAAACTAGCAGTTATGAAAACCAAGAGATTCTGTTCAAAACACAAATATCACTATATGCTTCTGGATTGTCTTTTCTTTGATTTCTAAACGATTATGTTAAGGATCCCCATACCACTGCCAAAAACTGCAAAGATGTGTCGGAAACTATTTTTCCGGATTGACTATATATTTTTTGTTAATAATTTCTGAAAAGAGAACCATACCTTGCAGGACTTTTATGACAAATATAAAAGATAGAATAAAGGACATGAAATCAACAACAGTTGTTTGTGTGTAAAAAAATCAGCGAGGCTACCCGAGATTCGATCACTGGACTTCAGATTGATGTGATTTGTACTACCGCTCTAACCGATTGAGCTTGGCCCAACTGTGATACAGTTATGATAAACGGAAGTTGAGGGAATGTTAATGTATATAGGAAAACACACAGTGCAGTGGGACAGGGTCCTTAAATAACTTAATTTTCGCCATTATGATTTTTTTTTTTAATATTCACGGGGTTTTTAACATGAAAATATAAAACAACAATTATTAGAATGTGTCTTAATTAATAGACTAATAGATTCTTCTCCTATCTTGAGAGTGTCACAGGGAACCTCAAGGTAGAGGAAGATTGTTTTTCTCCCATTCCGTTTCACTCACAAATCCACTGGCAAGCGATGATTGCATGAAATATAAGTGTTGATTGCAAGTTTTTTTTCTAGCAAATCCAGAGTTGTTTGCTATGTCAATGCATTGATAACGTGACGTCATACTATTGTTATGACTTAGATCGCGGCATTCTGTACGAGGCTATCTCCCCCTATGGGATGGCAAGCTGATCTTTTCCGGCTTAAAAGTGAGAAATTACACGTAAATATTCCCTTTTATGTGTATCACCATTTCGTACCTCCATAGAGTCAGTTCACCTTGCCTATGTGTTTGTGATAGCTGACTTGCTGTTCTCTGCTGCAGGTGGTGGTGTTCCTTTTCACCAGAAATCTATTATTTATCATGTAACTGCACGCCATTAAAAAAACGGAGGTGTGCAGTGGCTACAATGTTGTTCATCCAGTCAAATCTCAAACTAGCATAAGCTTTTTTTATTCTTTTTTTTCGTATACAATTATCACCATTGTGGGATTTTTATAAAGTAGATAATAATAAAACTACAATAAGGCGTCAACCGATACGAATACAGTCAGAACTTGATACAAATTCACTTGAAACCATCACGGGTACTTTATGGGATGCATGAAGAGGGAACCCTCCCTAAAGCCGTTGTTTTGTAGGATTTTATGATACATTTTGCTTGGGCTTCTACAGATTTTCTAAACATGTCGAATTTGGTCATTGCGTGTTGACGCTAGCGCTGTGGTACAATATATATTGCGTCCCAATATGTTGCCTCTCTGGTCAATTTTGTGATTGTGTATTGACTCTGTGGTGTAATTTGTTAGTATGTGTTGACGCTGTGGTGTAAGTTGTTAGTATGTGTTGACTCTGTGGCGTAATTTGTTAGTGTGTGTTGACTCTGTGGCGCAATTTGTTAGTATGTGTTGACGCTGTGGTGTAATTTGTTATTATGTGTTGACTCTGTGGCGTAATTTGTTAGTATGTGTTGACGCTGTGTTGTAATTTGTTAGTATGTGTTGACGCTGTGGTGTAATTTGTTAGTATGTGTTGACGCTGAGGTGTAATTTGTTATTATGTGTTGACTATGTGGCGTAATTTGTTAGTATGTGTTGACTCTGTGGTGTATTTTGTTGATGTGTGTTGGCTCTGTAGTGTAATTTGTTAGTATGTGTTGACTCTGTGGTGTAATTTGTAAGTATGTGTTGACTCTGTGGCGTAGTTTGTTAGTGTGTGTTGACTCTGTGGTGTAATTTGTTAGTATGTGTTGACTCTGTGGTGTATTTTGTTGATGTGTGTTGACTCTGTAGTGTAATTTGTTAGTATGTGTTGACTCTGTGGTGTATTTTGTTAGTATGTGTGTTTACGCTGTGGTGTAATTTGTTAGTATGTGTTGACTCTGTGGAGTAATTTGTTAGTATGTGTTGACTCTGTGGTGTATTTTGTTAGTATGTGTGTTTACGCTGTGGTGTAATTTGTTAGTATGTGTTGACTCTGTGGAGTAATTTGCTAGTATGTGTTGACGCTGTGGTGTAATTTGTTAGTATGTGTTGACTCTGTGGTGTAATTTGTTAGTATGTGTTCACTCTGTGGTGTATTTTCTTAGTATGTGTTGACGCCGTGGTGTAATTTGTTAGTATGTGTTGACTCTGTGGTGTAATTTGTTAGTATGTGTTGACTCTGTGGAGTAATTTGTTAGTATGTGTTGACGCTGTGGTGTAATTTGTTAGTATGTATTGACTCTATGGTGTAATTTGTTAGTATGTGTTGACTCTGTGGTGTATTTTGTTAGTATGTGTGTTTACGCTGTGGTGTAATTTGTAAGTATGTGTTGACTCTGTGGAGTAATTTGATAGTATGTGTTGACTCTGTGGTGTAATTTGGTAGTATGTGTTGACTCCGTGGAGTAATTTGTTAGTATGTGTTGACTCTGTGGTGTAATTTGTTAGTATGTGTTGACTCTGTGGTGTAATTTGTTACTATGTATTGACTCTGTGGTGTAATTTGTTAGTATGTGTTGACTCTGTGGTGTATTTTGTTAGTATGTATTGACTCTGTGGTGTAATTTGTTAGTATGTGTTGACGCTGTGGTGTAATTTGTTAGTATGTATTGACTCTATGGTGTAATTTGTTAGTATGTGTTGACTCTGTGGAGTAATTTGTTAGTATGTGTTGACTCTGTGGAGTAATTTACTAGTATGTGTTGACGCTGTGGTACATTTTGTTAGTATGTGTTGACTCTGTGGTGTAATTTGTTAGTATGTGTTGACTGTGGAGTAATTTGTTAGTATGTGTTGACTCTGTGGAGTAATTTACTAGTATGTGTTGACGCTGTGGTGCATTTTGTTAGTATGTGTTGACTCTGTGGTGAAATTTGTTAGTATGTGTTGACTCTGTGGAGTAATTTGATAGTATGTGTTGACTCTGTGGTGTAATTTGTTAGAATGTGTTGACTCTGTGGTGTAATTTGTATGTGTTGACTCTGTGGTGTAATTTGCTGGTATGTGTTGACTCTGTGGTGTAATTTGCTAGTATGTGTTGACTCTGTGGTGTAATTTGTTAGCATGTGTTGACTCTGTGGAGTAATTTACTAGTATGTGTTGACGCTTTGGTGCATTTTGTTAGTATGTGTTGACTCTGTGGCGTAATTTGTTCGTATGTGTTGACTCTGTGGTGTAATTTGCTGGTATGTGTTGACTCTGTGGTGTAATTTGCTAGCATGTGTTGACTCTGTGGTGTAATTTGTTATTATGTGTTGACTGTGGAGTAATTTGTTAGTATGTGTTGTCTCTGTGGTGTAATTTGTTAGTATGTGTAGACTCTGTGGCGTAATTTGTTAGTATGTGTAGACTCTGTGGCGTAATTTGTTAGTATGTGTAGACTCTGTGGCGTAATTTGTTAGTATGTGTTGACTCTGTGCTGTAATTTGTTAGTATGTGTTGACTCTGTGGGGTAATTTGTTAGTATGTGTTGACTCTGTGCTGTAATTTGTTAGTATGTGTTGACTCTGTGCTGTAATTTGTTAGTATGTGTTGACTCTGTTGTGTAATTTGTTAGTATGTGTTGACTGTGGAGTAATTTGTTAGTATGTGTTGACTATGTGGTGTAATTTGTTAGTATGTGTTGTCTCTGGGGTGTATTTTGTTAGTATATGTTGACTCTGTGGTGTAATTTGTTAGCATGTGTTGACTCTGTGGAGTAATTTACTGTATGTGTTGACTCTGTGGTGTAATTTGCTGGTATGTGTTGACTCTGTGGTGTAATTTGTTAGCATGTGTTGACTCTGTGGAGTAATTTACTAGTATGTGTTGGCGCTGTGGGGAATTTTGTTTGTATGTGTTGTCGCTGTGGTGTAATTTGTTAGTATGTGTTGCCTCTGTGGTGTAATTTGTTAGTATGTGTTGTCTCTGGGGTGTATTTTGTTAGTATATGTTGACTCTGTGGTGTAATTTGTTAGCATGTGTTGACTCTGTGGAGTAATTTACTAGTATGTGTTGACGCTTTGGTGCATTTTGTTAGTATGTGTTGACTCTGTGGCGCAATTTGTTAGTATGTGTTGACTCTGTGCTGTAATTTGTTAGTATGTGTTGACTC